GTTGTTAATTATTGTATTTTATAGTACATTTTGAACCTAATTTTTTAATAATATATGTTATTTGCCATGTCCCAATTTATGTGGCATTAATTGATAGATTTGTTGGAGTCGAGAGATTTATTTTGTTAATTATTGTAATTTATAGTTTCTTTTTCGTCAATTTCAAACAATATATGTTTATCATATAATCCATTTTATGTGGTACCAATAGAATTTAGAGAGTCAATTAAATTTTTTATATAAGTTTTAAATAATTAAGCTGTTAATTATTGTAATGTATAGTATTACTTATATTATTTTTAAATATATTTAAATACCTTAGATGTTATTTTATTACTTTAGCTGGCATCGACATTTTTGTAAATCTGATATCTACTTTGGAACATTTTATAATGTGGCATAGGCTGACAATTGAGATCATAAATTTAAAATAATAAAATTTAATTTATTATAATACTAATATCAATATCATAAAGATATATATATATATATATATATATATCATTTAAAAAATATATAAAAAGTATTATAAATTATAATAATTAACCGCTTTTTAAAAAAAAATCATATAACTAATTTGATTTACACTCCAAAATTCATAGGTGTCACATAATTTACACATTAATTCTTCATTACTTAATATATGTAATTATATCAATGACATATAAATTGAAATTAAAAAATACATATTTTATTTGAAAATCACGTAATAGTACTATAAGGTATAATAATTAACAACTCAACATATTTTAAAATTTTAGTTGACTCTCCAAATTCCATATGTCTCATGTAATTGAGACAGAGAAAAATATATATTGGTTTAAAATTAATAAAAATATTATAAATTATAATAATTAACAACTTAAAATTTATAAAAAAAAACCTTTAAAATTTTTTAGTTGGCTCTCGAAATTCAATCGGTATTACAATAATTAAAACATTGAAATTAACATAAATTGGACTCCTGCTGACATTTATGTTTCCTTTTTCTAAATTTTCTCTTTTATACTTTATATAAATAATTTTTTTTATGTAAAAAGTATAATAAATCATAATAATTAATAGCTTAAAATATTTCAAAACATATAAACAGTTTTTGTTAACTTTCAAAATTTCATCTATGCCGCATAAATTGAGAGAAATATAGATATATAGATATTTTAAGTTGCTAATTATTCTGAGTTATAGTACGTTTTATGTAATTTTCATATATATTACTCGCTTTGTCCTGATTTATGTGATACAAATGAAATTTCAAAAGTCAATGAATTTTTTATAAGTTCTTTTTTATATTAACTTGTTAATTATTGTGATTTCTAATATATTTACGTAAAACATACTCTAAATACAAATAATTAGCAACTTAAAATATATAAAAACATACTAAAAAATTGATTCACTTCAAATTTCATATGTACCACATAAATTAAAACAGAAACAGTAACATATATTGGGCCCCGTGCTGGCACGGGGTCCTATATCTAGTTTGTAAATAGATAATAGAAATATGAAACGTTAAGAACTTATTTTTTGACGCATTTGCCTTAAATTCTTTCATCCAAATATGACATTTTTTTCATTATTATTTATGCAATTTTTATAATTATTTTTCGTTGGTTTTCCATTTTAACAATTATTAAGTAAAAAAATATATTTTTTAAATTTCTCTGGCAACTCATGATTTTTTTAAATTACACTTGTTATTTTATTTGTCCAAGGGAAGATATATACGCAGCTTTTAAAATAGGAACAATCAAAATGATAACCTAAAAAAAAAGGATTATTTGCATAAATCAACCATTTTCTGATCAATATTTGCCTCTAGTAATAAAATAAACTCTAAATATCATTATAATTGGTCATTTGGTAGATTGTATAGCAAGAGAAAATAATATATGTATTAATTTTTTATTTGGTACATTTTTTCGACCTATACATACTAATGCAAATATTAATCATACATCCTATTTGATATTATTCTATATACAATTAATACAACCAAATCATGATATTAGCAATACCAAAATTACTATTACATACATTATAACCTCTAAAGCCGCACAAAGCAAAAAAAAAAAAAAAGACCATTCGGGTATTGCTAAGGTAACCATCTTAGCAAAACAATCCAATACTGTACAATAAAGGATAACATCAAAGTCTAATATATCTAGCATAATAGGACCAGTCTGAGTGTTCCATTCCTGAATCGTCATAATCTATAAACACGATCCACTACAAAAGACTTATCCTCAAAAGTTGAAACACGCAACGACGCTATCAAGGGCTCATAACTCATACTCAATCGGAAAGCATAATACAAAGATACATATTTAAAATTAAACTCTAAATATCTAATATGCCTAAAATTCTACTTATATATAAGAGGGAGTTTATGATGGGACATTTCAATGTCCCATCATAAACTCCCTATATAATATTCTATATAATAATATAATATAATAAATCATTTTTTCTATTATATAATATATATAATATATATTTATTTTCTAAGGGAGTTTATATAATATAGGGAAAAGGGTCAAAAATACCCCTCAACTTTAGTTTATTAG